GTTACTCAGGGAGGTATGAGCAGGTACCAAGGAGGTGGGTGTGCTTATAAAAGAGCAAAAGGAAGGGATCACTGTGGTGATGGAATTATTTTGTGTCTTAACTATATCTTGGTTGTGATACTGCTTTGTAGTTAGTTACTACTGAGGGAGACTAGTAAACTTTCTCAGTACAATACAATGCAGTATAGTTCTAAATGTGAATATCTAATTATCTAAAAATCAAAAATGTACGCATATGTAGACAGCTATTTAAAGAGAAGCCATAAGTGCTATATCTATTAACGTTAAGGGTCTACAATATATTGCTATGAAGCAAATTAGCACTTGGCATAAAGTAGGTGTTTCATTGATTTTATGAAGTTAATTTAAAAATAGCATAAATACATAAAATTTGATTACAAAGTCATGTCTCCTTTAGGTCAATATTAATTCTGGTGACAGAAAAAATGCTTCTTCCATGCCTCACACTGAAGGAAAAGAATAATTGAATAATTTAAGGAAGGTTGCAGGGTCCCAACCCAACCCAACCCTACTATCTTACAGTGTTGCCTTGGAGACAAAGTTGGGGACTTTGACCATTTAGGAGATCACTGGTGTCTCTGCCATACATGGTCAGAGACAGAGTCCGTGTAAAGGACAGACAGAGTTGCAGAGGAAGGGGAAATGAGCAACGAGAGCAGATAATATTAAAGGAAAGTTGATTATAATCTAGATCCAATCTATTCCACACCCATGCCAGAACCTGACTTCTACGAGATGCTATTATAATGGAGGAGAAATTTCCTCTAGCCAATCTGCACTGTCGGAGACTGGGGACTCCCATTGCCCCTAAACTTTATGGACTATTAAGAACATTTCTGTAGGAGGAGTGAGGAGCCTGAGATGGAGGGAAGGAGGTCTTCCTTAGCAAGAAGACCTAAAAGACAGAATGTTATGGTCATGGTAGTTCCATGACTTCTCCCAATCTCCATAGGATTGTGCCACTTGATCTTACCATGGGGCTTCAGAGTTCCTCTGCCCTTCCAGAAACTAAGGGAAGGTGAAGCCTAGGATGCTGGGGTGGCCATAAAGGAATCTCATACTGACCTGGCACCTGAGACTTGACAATTGAGAATTCTTCTTAGGCATTTATGTTGAGTGGCACCACTAGGACCCAAGATCTTCTGATCTATAGTCTAGTGTATAAATGGGTGATCTTCTGTGTTGCTGCTTGCTGGTCACTGTAAGCAGAGAACTGGCACAAGCTGATCTCTGGGAACCCTATTCTCCAGGAGGTGCTGGAGAATATCAGAGCAAGTTCCCAGAGTCCGTCTATCCTTATTCCCATGCCAGTCCAGCAGCAACCGAGAGGGCCAATGAGCTTCCCTTCCTCCTCCTGTTCCACCCACTCCTCACAGAGAGCTGGCACCCACCTGGGGCATAAGCACTGGCACAAAGCTCCACATGGCCACAGGTGTCTTGTCAGGCTATACTTGAAGAGCCAATGTCCCAGGTGAAGAACGGCCAGGTGGCCCCCAGCCGATAATGCTGGGTTGCAGAGTGGGAGGCCAACAAATGAACTTCTCTGGAGATGAAGGCAGTGATACCCCCAGTACATCCTGGATTAGTGAAGAGTGGGAAACGTAGAATACAGAAACATGATGACTTCATTTTTGTTGGTTCTAAGGGGTCTATGTTATCTTCTGAACAGTATTTGTACAAGCAGCCAGTACCCCGGATAGACAAATGTCCCATTGTGTTCTCTTGAGGTAAAGAACATTTCTCCCACCCCTCTCCTTCTTGGTTTTCAACCCACTGCTCTCGCCAACCAACACTCCTCTTGCCTCAATGATGAGAAATCAGTTCACTGCCAGGTAACTGATGTATTTCCTATATCTCCCCGTTCAGTAATCCGAGGAGTACCTGACAGTCTCAAAGTCTTCTAACTCCTCCTCCCGAGAACAAATGCCTTTTGCTAGAAACTCCTATTTATGTGCTAAATCTCAGCAGAAATGGTTGTAGTGGTTAAGAGCGAGGAGGCTAGAGCCAGGCTTGTTGTATCCTAACTGATATTTGCCAGTTGTGTGATCTTAAGGAAGTTACATTCTTTTTTTTTATTTTAAAAACAATTTTTATTGAAGTAAAATTGCATTATAATAATATATAATTATTTAAAAAACTATTTTTCCAGCTTTACTGAAGTAATTTGACTTCTCCCATTGTGATGATCTAAAGTGTACATGTGACACTTTGATGTATGTATATATTGCAAAGTGATAACCACAATAATGTTAGTTTACATACCATCGTCTTAGAGTTATATTTTTTGTGTGCTCAGGACTTTCAAAATCTCTCTCCTAGCAACTTTAAAATATACAATACACTATAATTAATAATTATGAAAGTTATTTTCATTGTACCTTGGTTCTGAGTTTATAAAGGTGGGGCTAACACACACCTACCGCGAATGGGTGTTCTGAGAATAGGGCTTAGATCAATGCCTGCCTGTAGGAAACTTCACAGCACCCTGGGCCTCTACTGTAATTCAAAGAAGACTGCCCTGTCTGCCAAGATGAGGGCGAAGACTCCTTTCCCTGTGCTTCCACTATTTCTGGTACTAAGCTGAATTAATTTAATAGCCCTGTAACAACTGTTTGCACACTGTGGCCACTAGAGTGTAAGCTCCTGCGGGCAGCAGTGTCTTGTTGCCAGGGTAGCCTCACCATATGGCGCAGGATCAGGCACAAAAGAGATGCAATCACTTCCTCCTAAAGTTGATTTTGAAATACAAATTTGTTCCAACCATTTGGCACATTAAGGAACTGAGCACGACATGAACTTCTCGTTTGCTTACATGTAGCTTCACCTGCAAGAAACTGAGTGAGTGCAGAAGGCTACACCCAGCCGAGCCTCACTGTGTAGAGACCCAACATGCAAACGCCTCAAAGTTCTGCTGCCTCTGGCCGCAGGTCACATGATGACCCACGCCCATCCACAGCTGGTGTTGCGGCACCCCGCTGACCAGAGCGCAGCCTCTCCTTATACCACTTCACAGAAATTCACAAGTTGCTTCCAGAGCACTTCCCCAAAAAATACTCCAGACCTTTTTCAAGGCAAAGTGTTGTATTTCTTGGCATATTTATGTACTTTCTAGCCATTTATTGTGTGTAAAATTTTGCTACCATTTTCATTAGATTTCATTCGATTTTTAAATGTGTCATCAACAAAGTTTTTGAAAGGTGTGGCCCTATTCCCATTCATCCCATAAACCCTGTATTTTATTGCATTACCTTACAGCCTGGTGGTACATAGTGTCTGCCTCCATATAACTGAGAGAAACACACTCGGTGGGCTTGTGGGATAACCCTTCCTCATCTCCATGGATACTAAGGCCTGTAGAAGACCCTGTGCCTCAGCAAATGCTGTTTAGGCTAGCAGTTCAGTCCCACAGTTAAAAGCAATAAATATGTATTCATCAGTTGCAGCATGCCAGGGGTTGTGACGAGCAGTGGAGATACTGTGGTTAACAAGAAACACTGCCTGTAACTCTACCTGTCTAGTGAGGGTGAGAGAGACATGTAATTACAATGCGGGGAGGGATGTTGGGTGCTATTAAGGAATAAAGCAATGTCTTCTCTCCCAGGCTTCAGGGAGTCAGCAAAGACCTCCCAGAGGAAGCTTTCCTCTTTTCCAGATTTTTCCATTCTCTTAAATCGGTCCCTTTCCTGTTGCCCCTTCTCTGCCTCAATACTTTCAAGTTACTGGGTCTATTAGTATTGAGAAAGAGGCAGAACAGCAAAGAGTTAACATGGCACAGGTGGGAGGGGGGAGGGCCCCAGGGAAGCAGGTGGAACTGGGACATAAAGGGCCCCACAGGCACTGGTCAAGGCAACAGAAGCTGCCAACACACTCTGGTCAGACCTTTCCCCCGTCAAATCTTCTGCTGAGGGAGTGCTTTCTTCCTCATTGACTACTGTTCTACATTTATTAAGCGTCTGCCGTGAGCTGGATTCTGGGAGGAATCAGTTCTGCGCACCCTGCCTCCTCCAACATCAGAGATGCTTCTTCCTCGAATGGCTTCTACTCTGGGTTAAGTACCAGTTCCTCCTCCTCTGGCACCTCCACTACCTTGGGCATCCCCGGAGTGAGACTCTAGGTAGTGGGACCCTCTTCTGAATCATAAAGAAGGAAAAAAGGTACAGAAGTTTTTAGTTTGGTTTTTTTTTTTTGCTGCCATCTGTCTGTCTCCACTGCTTCCCAGGCACTTCATCTCGCTAGCCATTGCTCAAGTTCACTACCTCAGCATCAAGTTAAGAATGACATGAGCAACCCACACCCCCAAACCCACCAGGTTTTCTTCTATCACATCTGGCTTCTGGCTTCACTCCAGATCCCATTGTCTTCCTCCTCACATTTCTCCCTTTCTCTCTGCTCTCCTCATACATTCTTGGAAGGTTGGGACAAGGTTAAAACTGCACATTTCAGGCCATTGTGTCCACCCCCTTTATAAAGCTGAGCTAGCCAAGGCCTAGAAGTTCTGCCTAAGGATAACAGTCAGGGGCAGCACAAGACTGAGGCCTGATCACTCCACAGCACGGCCTTTCTCCCCACCTAGAGAAGCTGAGACTGACACACTTGTATCCAGAGAACGAAAAACATTCATCTCAGTTCCACTTAACTGACTTCCCCCTGGCGGGCTCTGGCTGTGCCAGCCTCTGCAGCAGTGACCGACGCCCCACCCCCATCTGCCTCTATACCCCTCATTTCCCTCTACAACACTCATGGGCTCTCAGGCACAAAGAACTTCCCCATCCTAGCCAGGGTTGCAACCTTGATTATCCATCTAACCCCCAACAAAGTTAATAACCCTGTGGTCCTTCCACCCCTGTGCTCCCCCTACACATGCTCCATTGGATGGGTCCCTGCTACTGCGACTGTGACATCCTCAAAAACTCCCCTTGGTCCTTCTATCAGGAGCCAGTCCCCCATGAGCCCTAAAGATTTGCCCCCCTCCGCAGAGAATGGCAGAAGCTCCACAGCCCAACTCCACCTTCCCTCGCCCACCCTTCTTTATACTGACAGGCATCCCGGGGCTAGCTGGCACTCAGGTCTGGCTGGCGCTGATCTTTGGGCCCATGTATCTGCTGGCTCTGCTGGGCAACGGGACACTGCTGGCAGTGGTGCGGATAGACTCCACCTTGCACCAGCCCATGTTTCTGCTCCTGGCCACACTGGCAGCCACAGACATGGGCTTAGCCACCTCCATTGCCCCAGGATTGCTGGCCGTGCTGTGGCTTGGGCCCCAGCCTATACCATATACTGCCTGCCTGGCCCAGATGTTCTTTGTCCATGCACTGACTGCCATGGAATCGGGGGTACTATTGGCCATGGCCTGTGACCGTGCTGTGGCGGTAGGGCGTCCGCTGCACTACCCTGTCCTAGTCACCAAAGCCCGGGTGGGTTACGCAGCCTTGGCACTGGCACTGAAAGCAGTGGCCATTGTCGTTCCTTTCCCGCTGCTGGTGAGACGATTTGGACACTTCCGAGCCAAGACCATAGACCACGCCTACTGCGAACACATGGCGGTGGTGGAGCTGGTGGTGGGCAACACACGGGCCAACAACCTGTACGGGCTGGCGCTGTCGCTGGCAGTGTCGGGGGTAGATATCCTGGGTATCGCAGGCTCCTACGGGCTCATCGCCCACGCCGTGCTGCGGCTCCCTACCCGGGAGGCCCGGGCCAAAGCCTTTGGTACATGCAGTTCCCACATCTGTGTCATTCTGGCCTTCTACGTGCCTGGCCTCTTCTCCTACCTCACACACCGCTTTGGCCGCCACACTGTCCCAAAGCCCGTGCACATCCTCCTCTCCAACATCTACTTGCTGCTGCCGCCTTCACTCAACCCTCTCATCTACGGGGCCCGCACCAAGCAGATCAGGGAACGGCTCCTGGAAACCTTCACGTTAAGAAAAAAACAGCTTTGAAGCAGTAAAAATGATGGAAGCTGGGGGAGGAGGAGGGATATATTCAAGAGAGTCTGGGGCCTGGAGGTGTGGACAGTTACCTTGGCCTCATTATCTGCCTGTGACTGATAGTCACTCAACACTCTATTTGCTGTGAAGTCCCTACCACATGTACCCCTGACACCTGTAGACTTTGGGCTAGTCATGTAGCCTGCTTGGGAAGAAGCAGGAGGTAGGGGGCAATATGTTACCATGCCAGGAATAGAAGAAGGACCAGGGAATGTGGTGCACAAGATTTAGAGAGATCACACCTGGACCACGTTAACTTAAGTCATCCATGTTCCCACACAAAAGCTCCTCTCCAGATTCTGATCTGGGGGTCTGGGAAGAGCAGCACTGCCCCAGGAGGCAAGTGCCTGGGTATTTGAGATCATAGCACTCTATTCCTGAAAACAGATCCTGTTTTCAGCCTGTCCTTTGGGAAGGAGTTACAAAGGCTCACTCCCCACCTTCTGAGAATCTGGATTATGTGCCCTGGGGTCCCAATATGGCCAGGTTCAGAGGATCCTCTGGGCTGCATATGTAATCACTATCCTACTTTACTCCCCTCCCAGTCTCAAAATTAATGACTAGAACTTCTGTTGTGGGCCTGCAGTTTCTGGAGTCAGCGGCTAAATGAAAGAAATTTGGATATCCCAGAAAATCGTCCTAACTACCGGTTTGCTTGAGGTCCAGTCACCATGGCCTCTTACCAGTCTGGCCTTTGCACATCCTCAGCTAGGATTGTAGAATTTGCAAATAAAATCCTCATTTGCACCATTTGCCCTGGTTAGCACTACTAGAAACATTTGATGTTGAAGCTGTGTGATGAAACAGGAATATTTCACACTGCTGCAGCTGCCGGAGTCTAGAGATTTCAATAGGAAGAGTCATGGTGTTGCCCAACAGGAGATTCACTTTCAGCTAAGATTGCACACTGGAAGGAACAATGCACAAAAATCCTTGACACCAGCATGGAGTCCACGATGAGTGTAATCACACACAACATGTAGAGAACATTGCTATGTGGTAGGAGAAAGCTGTGAGCTGCACAGGCAGACCCCAGCTCACTGGGAAAACTATCAGAATGCAAGTGTTGGCATGAGCCATGAAGTGCTGAAGCCAGGGGCAACCCGACTGCTCAGCAGGTAGCTGGTCCATGCCCCGTGGGGGAGCACTCGGGAAAAGACACTGTGGGCCTGGAAGACCAGCTCATGCCACGGCCACACGAGCGCTCACCAGGTCCTCTTTAACAAGGAACTGAAGAGAGCGCCAAAGTGGTGAGTGATTTTCAGAAGTATTGTCACACAGTAGCAAGGGGACAAGGAAGTCAATTCCAGTTTTCCCCCACCCAAATGTGGGGGGCTGGGTCATTCTCAAGGTTAACCTTTTTCACGTCGCTCGAAGTTTAAAAACCTAACAGGCAATAATTTTGTAGATAATTGTGACATATTTTAATCCTAATGGGTCTTGAGTCTTTAAGATGCCCACGAGATTCCTCTTCAATAAATCTATTGTGACAAAATAATCAGAGATGTGAACAAAGATGTATGCAGTAAGATATTTATTACAATATTAATATATAGAAATATAAAGAAATGTCTGATGTTCCTGTGTCACACATACACACACGCACACTTTCTTGCCTTTCCCCTCTGGTACATGAAAAGGGAAATCATATGTGATCATTGTTCATAAATAATGAATTCTGTCACCCTCCCACCCCAGGAAGCTTCTTGTCTAAGGCACCTTTACTCGCTGCTTATGCACAACGCCCCAAGTTAGTTGGCCCAAAGCTGGACATTGTCCATTTTAAGAATTTTTTTCCTTCAAGCCAAAAATTGACCCCCTTGGATATTTGTATTTGGTTCTGCGTGTGGGAGTGCACACACACTACTATGATGTGTCTAGAAGGCCTTGCCGGTACCCTCATTCCTCACCCCTGAGAGCAATTATAAGCCCACGATACCTTCTCTGTGATTCCAAAATAAAAATCTGTCTGAAGGAACTATTAGTTTTATCCCCATAACTTCACAATCACAATCTTATTGAGTGTTTACCTCCACGTGAATATTCATACATTTAGCTGCAGAAATACTGATGCATTTGATTATAGGGCACCGCCCCAAATCTCTCTGGGATATATCTTAATATGTCACACAGGTACTCTACACCTTTCTAAAATCTGAAAAATCCTGAATTCCAAAACACATCTGTCCCTAAATGTTTCCAATAAGGGATTAGGGACTTGTACATATGTCCCCGTAGTCTGGGAGAAGTGAAAAGACTTGTTAGAGCTCTTTCTGAAATCTTTGCTAGTAATACTTTTTATACTGCCCCAGCAGTTCTTGCAGGAAACCTCAGGTTCTCTAGATTAACCACTTCCATGCGCTTGCTCTCCACTCTGGTCACCCCTCAGGTATGATGCTGATGATCTGCCTTTTTCCCAGGGGGACCCCAGAACGTTGACGCAAACCCCATGGGCAGGGCATGGCCCAAATAAGCCTTGGCCTCATCCGCTCCATCTAGGACTCAGACGTCATTTGTTTTCCTTCAGTAACTTTCATTTTCAGATTATGAACCAAAAGCAGACATACCTGTTTAATGTCAGGGTAGAGCAATGTGGAATTTAGAGAGCCTAGAGAATTATGGCAAGCAGACAGTGAGAGAGAAGACAAACGGTAAAGGCTGCTGGCTGTCCTAAGTACCCCATCCCCCCTCTAACCCTTTCTCTGAGAACAAAAATTTCAGAGATCCTCCTCATCCATTTCCCCAAGAACCCACCATCCCTGCCCCTGCCTCATGCGGCCCCTTCTCATTCTGGAAGCCCTCAGGAAATGGGCTTGCATCATTCTCCTCCTCCTCCTCAATAACCTCTGCACCTCTTTCTCCTTGTACCGTGTCAGTTTTGCCCCCTATCAATAGCCCTTGTCCTTGGGAAATGTGTCTCTCTCTACCTCTGTCTACCTGACTCAGAATCCTTTTCAGAGGGAACCAGAGGTGCCAACTGTACCATACCAGATGATCTTGTCCCTGTCAACCCTTGTAAAAAACGTGTTGAAGAGGGATTAGGAGGAAGAGGCTTGGTTTCACTTGTCTCAACAAGAAACTTGGAGTTTCTGATTTGGTCTCATCCTGCCCTTTTCCTTTTCTTATCGCCTCTTTGCACTTCATCTAGCCCATACCCCCCACCACAAGCTTCCACCAAAAAGAACTACCATTTAATGGCTCAATTGGAAACAGGCAGACATGGATTTGAATCCCAGATCCTCTGTGAACTCGCAATATGACTTGTACTCATTTATTTAAACTCTTTGGCCTGTTTTCACTTATAAAAGGGGGAAATAATAATACCTACTTTAAGAGCTTACTGAAAGGATTAACTAATATAATGCATTCAAAGTGTTTGGCACAGCCCCTACCTGGAGCATAGGTTCATGCTCCCTGTCGAATCTTTGCTCAAAGACCTGGTACTGTCTAGGGGAGACTTGTCCTCCCCTGAGGCCAATTACATCTCCTTTAGGAAACTTTTCTTGGCAACACTCTTCCCACCATTGTAGGATCTTCCATGTGGCCCATACTCATGCCACCTCAGCCAGCTCAAACTGCGGCCTACTTTGTGGGCTAGCTCCACATGCTCCAGAAAAGGATGAACTACACACATAAAGCATCCTCCTGGGCAAAGAGAGGATTTTAGAGGGACTCAAGAGGGAACACTTTGGACAAATAAAGGGTAGAGTGGGAGAGTAGCTACTAGAAAGACTCTCCAGAGTGATTCTTCTCCAGGGAAAAATCACTGTTCTTCTCCAGCAAAACACCAGGTTGAGAGATGTAGACTGACACACGAGGGGAAATCGCAGATAGATTAGAGCTGTCGTCAAAGGATACCTGCTAGAAACAGATCAGCCTAGAATAGGGAATGCAACATGAAGGAAAATTTCCTCAGATTTACCTGGGATGGTAAATTTAATGCCAGTTTCCTGAAAGGTCTCTCCAGTTACTAAGGCAACATTATCCCAATTAGATTCTTATCCTCCATGTTGTCACAGCTCAGTGTGGCACCCTCCTACACACACACCTGACTTTCATTGCAGTTGTAACCCACTCACTAATAATGGGTTTCAACCTATGATGCACATTACAATTGCTGAAGGAGCTTTTAGAAATCCTGATGCCTGGCACACTCCAGACCAATTAAATCAGAATCATTAGGGGAGGATGGAAAGGGGAGCTAGAGGGGGTAGGATCCAGGCACCTGTAATTTTTAAAGCTTCTGGGTAATCCCAAAGTGCCACCCAAGTTAAGAAACTCTGCTCCGTTCTCACGAAGCCCCGATCTATACTTATCTCACATCCTTCAAGACCCCAATTCAGCCTCACAGAGAAGGCATCTGCAGCTGGCAAACAGCAAATTGCTTCAAGGAGACTGGTGAAGGGAGAAGTCAGATCCTGTTTCTTTAAAGAACTCAGACCAAGAACTACATACACACATGCTAATATAGAAAACACACCCTAATGGACACCTGCATTTCTGTCCCCAAAGCAGGGGAGTGAAAAGGTACCTCAAGAGTATGAACTCAGGCTATGGGTAGAGTGAGGCTAGGAAAGTGGCTGCCCTCTCTCCGCCCAAGGCTCCATCACCAAGCAGGACCTCTATGACCTCATGCTGTAGTAGGTCAAAGCCCGAGGCCTGGAGTTTCACCTCCCTGGCAGCTTGGGGTACCTGTAGCAGCCACTGCTCTGCCTATCCCCTCCCAACCTCACCATGTTAGTCGGTACCCCCCACCTGCTGACACTGGATGAAGCTGATGCCACCTGGACCCTCATCAAGGACAAGGTAGGGAAAGCAAGAGGGCCGAGAAGGAAATAAGTGCAATCTAGGAGGGCCTGGGCAGCTTATGAGTAGAAAAGGCTGGAAGTCTAAGGACGAGGACAATTAAAATAGTCAGTTCCTGTGAAATGCTTTGTACAAACTGTCCAATT